GTATCCCACCGAGGCAGGGTGGCCATAAAGGAAAAACGAAAGTTTCTCCTTTTACATTTAGTAATATATACAGAAGAGTTACTAGCCCCTTGCTCCCAGCATTTTAGTCGCCTCTTACAACACGCATGGCTTACAGAGGAAAAATTCTGTTCCACTTCCCCATGGAAGTAAGAGGAAATAAACAAGAAGAAGAACTAGAAAGAAAATAGAAGAAAACCCAGAGGGGTGTGTGTGTATGTATATGCTTGTACATATATGTGTACATATATATGCTTGTACATATGTGTACATATATATGCTTGTACATATATGTGTTTTAGGTAGTAGGTTGGTAGACAGCAACCACCCAGGGAAGTACTACCGTCCTGCCAGATGTCTGTGAAACAGAAACCTGTAACTGTTTTGCATGATGGTAGGATTGCTGGTTTCTTTTTCTGTCTCATAAACACGCTAGATAACAGGGATATCTTGCTACTCCTACTTACACTTTGGTCACACTTCACAGACACGCACATGCATATATATATATACATACATCTAGGTTTTTCTCCTTTTTCTAAATAACTCTTGTTCTTCTTTATTTCTTCTGTTGTCCATGGGGAAGTGGAAAAGAATCTTTCCTCCGTAAGCCATGCGTGTCGTATGAGGCGACTAAAATGCCGGGAGCAATGGGCTAGTAACCCCTTCTCCTGTAGACATTTACTAAAAAAGAGAAGAAAAACTTTATAAAACTGGGATGCTTGAATGTGCGTGGATGTAGTGCGGATGACAAGAAACAGATGATTGCTGATGTTATGAATGAAAAGAAGTTGGATGTCCTGGCCCTAAGCGAAACAAAGCTGAAGGGGGTAGGGGAGTTTCGGTGGGGGGAAATAAATGGGATTAAATCTGGAGTATCTGAGAGAGTTAGAGCAAAGGAAGGGGTAGCAGTAATGTTGAAGGATCAGTTATGGAAGGAGAAAAGAGAATATGAATGTGTAAATTCAAGAATTATGTGGATTAAAGTAAAGGTTGGATGCAAAAAGTGGGTCATAATAAGCGTGTATGCACCTGGAGAAGAGAGGAATGTAGAGGAGAGAGAGAGATTTTGGGAGATGTTAAGTGAATGTATAGGAGCCTTTGAACCAAGTGAGAGAGTAATTGTGGTAGGGGACCTGAATGCTAAAGTAGGAGAAACTTTTAGAGAGGGTGTGGTAGGTAAGTTTGGAGTGCCAGGTGTAAATAATAATGAGAGCTCTTTGATTGAACTTTGTATAGAAAGGGGTTTAGTTATAGGTATACATATTTTAAGAAAAAGAGGATAAATAAGTATACAAGTTATGATGTAGGGCAAAATGACAGTAGGTTGTTGGATTATGTATTGGTAGATAAAAGACTGTTGAGTAGACTTCAGGATGTACATGTTTATAGAGGGGCCACAGATATATCAGATCACTTTCTAGTTGTAGCTACACTGAGAGTCAAAGGTAGATGGGATACAAGGAGAATAGAAGCAACAGGGAAGAGAGAGGTGAAGGTTTATAAACTAAAAGAGGAGGCAGTTAGGGTTAGATATAAACAGCTATTGGAGGATAGATGGGCTAATGAGAGCATAGGCAATGGGGTCGAAGAGGTATGGGGTAGGTTTAAAAATGTAATGTTAGAGTGTTCAGCAGAAGTTTGTGGTTACAGGAAAGTGGGTGCGGGAGGGAAGAGGAGCGATTGGTGGAATGACGATGTAAAGAGAGTAGTAAGGGAGAAAAATTTAGCATATGAGAAGTTTTTACAAAGTAGAAGTGATGCAAGGAGAGAAGAGTATATGGAGAAAAAGAGAGAGGTTAAGAGTGGTGAAGCAATGTAAAAAGAGAGCAAATGAGAGAGTGGGTGAGATGTTATCAACAAATTTTGTTGAAAATAAGAAAAAGTTTTGTAGTGAGATTAACAAGTTAAGGAAGCCTAGAGAACAGATGGATTTGTCAGTAAAAAATAGGAGAGGAGAGCTATTAAATGGAGAGTTAGAGGTATTGGGAAGATGGAGGGAATATTTTGAGGAATTGTTAAATGTTGATGAAGATAGGGAAGCTGTGATTTCGTGTATAGGGCAAGGAGGAATAACATCTTGTAGGAGTGAGGAAGAGCCAGTTGTGAGTGTGGGGGAAGTTCGTGAGGCAGTAGGTAAAATGAAAGGGGGTAAGGCAGCCGGGATTGATGGGATAAAGATAGAAATGTTAAAAGCAGGTGGGGATATAGTTTTGGAGTGGTTGGTGCAATTATTTAATAAATGTATGGAAGAGGGTAAGATACCTAGGGATTGGCAGAGAGCATGCATAGTTCCTTTGTATAAAGGCAAAGGGGACAAAAGAGAGTGCAAAAATTATAGGGGGATAAGTCTGTTGAGATACCTGGTAAAGTGTATGGTAGAGTTATTATTGAAAGAATTAAGAGTAAGACGGAGAATAGGATAGCAGATGAACAAGGAGGCTTTAGGAAAGGTAGGGGGTGTGTGGACCAGGTGTTTACAGACAGTATTTAGATAAGGCTAAAGAGGTCTTTGTGGCATTTATGGATTTGGAAAAGGCGTATGACAGGGTGGATAGGGGGGCAATGTGGCAGATGTTGCAGGTGTATGGTATAGGAGGTAGGTTACTGAAAGCAGTGAAGAGCTTTTATGAGGATAGTGAGGCTCAAGTTAGAGTATGTAGGAAAGAGGGAAATTATTTCCCAGTAAAAGTAGGCCTTAGACAAGGATGTGTGATGTCACCGTGGTTGTTTAATATATTTATAGATGGGGTTGTAAGAGAAGTAAATGCGAGGGTCTTGGCAAGAGGCGTGGAGTTAAAAGATAAAGAATCACACATAAGGTGGGAGTTTTCACAGTTGCTCTTTACTGATGACACTGTGCTCTTGGGAGATTCTGAAGAGAAGTTTCAGAGATTGGTGGATGAATTTGGTAGGGTATGCAAAAGAAGAAAATTAAAAGTGAATACAGGAAAGAGTAAGGTTATGAGGATAGCAAAAAGATTAGGTGATGAAAGATTGGATATCAGATTGGAGGGAGAGAGTATGGAGGAGGTGAATGTATTCAGATATTTGGGAGTGGACGTGTCAGGGATGGGTCTATGAAAGATGGGTGAATCATAGAATTGATGAGGGGAAAAGGGTGAGTGGTGCACTTAGGAGTCTGTGGAGACAAAGAACTTTGTCCTTGGAGGCAAAGAGGGGAATGTATGAGAGTATAGTTTTACCAACACTCTTATATGGGTGTGAAGCATGGGTGATGAATGTTGCAGCGAGGAGAAGGCTGGAGGCAGTGGAGATGTCATGTCTGAGGGCATTGTGAGGTGTGAATATAATGCAGAGAATTCGTAGTTTGGAAGTTAGGAGGAGGTGCGGGATTACCAAAACTGTTGTCCAGAGGGCTGAGGCAGGTTTGTTGAGGTGGTTCGGACATGTAGAGAGAATGGAGCGAAACAGAATGACTTCAAGAGTGTATCAGTCTGTAGTGGAAGGAAGGTGGGGTAGGGGTCGGCCTAGGAAAGGTTGGAGGGAGGGGGTAAAGGAGGTTTTGTGTGCGAGGGGCTTGGACTTCCAGCAGGCATGCGTGAGCGTGTTTGATAGGAGTGAATGGAGACAAATGGTTTTTAATACTTGACGTGCTGTTGGAGTGTGAGCAAAGTAACATTTATGAAGGGGTTCAGGGAAACCGGCAGGCCGGACTTGAGTCCTGGAGATGGGAAGTACAGTGCCTGCACTCTGAAGGAGGGGTGTTAATGTTGCAGTTTAAAAACTGTAGTGTATAGCACCCTTCTGGCAAGACAGTGATGGAGTGAATGATGGTGAAAGTTTTTCTTTTTCGGGCCACTCTGCTTTGGTGGGAATCGGCCAGTGTGATAATAAAAAATAATAAAAACATATATGTGTAGTGTGACCTAAGTGCAGGTAGAAGCAGCAAGACGTACCTGAAATCTTGCATGTTTATGAGACAGACAAGAGACACCAGCAGTCCTACCATCATGTAAAACAATTAGAGGCTTTCATTGTACACTCGCATGGCAGGACAGTAGTACCTCCCCGGGCAGTTGCTGTTTACCAACCTACTACCTAGGACCCTTATACTTAGGATTGATTAGGTAGCAAGGAAAGCTGCTCATTTAATTACTGCTTTTGTATGATATGTTGGAGAAAATATAATTAAGGAGGATTTGTAGTTTTGCAGCTCCATTGATGATAGTTATGTCAGTGTTGGTGTTCAATATCATTGACAAATTTCTAATTTAAAATAACAAAATGAGAGAGCTGAATTAGATAAGATTTTGCATACATAGTCTTTTCACTGTTTAGTACATTTAGAGGTCTTGTAACTTACATAGAACAAAAATGGACTAGAGACTAAGGTTTTTTATTTTGATTTAAGGATGACATGTTAGCATTTAGAAACAGAAATTCCATCACAAAATACAGCTTCTCCTAGCTTAGCAACGTACAGTATTTGTTTACTGATGACTCAGACTTGTGACTGGCTATCTGACCAGTATGCATACCTAAATAATGTATATTAAATCTGATTTCTTCTATTCTGTCTATTAAAATGTACAGTACACTGCTGTATAAACATTTAAAAATATACCAGAAATGTTATAAATGGTGTAAAGGTGACATTAAAATTATATCAAAGATGGTTGACACAAACCCACTACCATTATAGTATGCTCCTCACTTAGCGACAAATTCGTTTACTGACGTGGCCTTAGGAATGGAACTTCATCGTTAAGTGAGGATAGGCTGTACTTGCAAATTAGTAATAATGCAGTAAATCTAAAAGTTAATTACAATACTTAAGGGAAGTTTAATGTGCTTTTTTTTGCAATAATGAAGTTATGATTATAATGTCATTTTATTAGTCAAACATATCTTTCCACATATGTATTGGGAAATGGACTTTGTTTTGTATATTTGTTTCATGCCAAAATATGCAAGGGTTTGAACGATACAGCAGGTTGAATTTTTTTTTTTTTTTTCAGGTCTCTCCTTCAATGATATGTATCAACGTTGTCGAGAATTATTTTTGGTTAATTCAGATCTCACTCTGCGTGCTCAACTTACTGAATTCAGAGATCACAAGCTCATACGTTCCAAAAAAGGATTGGATGGCATTGAGAATCTCGTCATTCCACTAGATTCAAACATATTGCATGATTTTATAAATCAACAAGAATCTGATAAACTGTCATAATTTTACAAATTGTATTGAAATAATTGTGCCTCTTATTGGCTGTGTTTTTTGCTTACATGGCATACTCTATTTATAACAAGTTACTTTGTAATTTTAATATATTTAATAGTTTTACATTGCATTGTTTTATAAACTTTGATGGTAAAATTCTGTGTAATCCATGATGTTGTCTTCACCTTGTGATGAGCTGGCAGCAGTTTACATTGATGTGTGCCAGTTGCATTGACAAGGACAGAGCAGTTAATCTGTAGGTTCTTTCATCCCAGCCACTGATTTCAAATTGCTACAGATTAGTAACTAGAGAACATTTTGCAATACCTATCCCAAACAATCTACCATCAGAAGCATAATGTACTTGGTTAGGAAAAAATAATGTCCTCTATCATCTAAATAAACTCATCGAATTATTTAGTGACACTAACATCATCTATAAAGGCTTGTCAGCAGCGTATATCTGATGAATACCATGGCATTTCTTGCATATATGTAGCCACCGATGACTAATTTTTTGTTGTAACTTGAGTTGTGAAAGTACAGTAAATCTCACAACTTGCTGGTTACATTCCCCAAAATTGGTGTATAATATAAAATGGCATTTCGTGAAGTGTAGAACATAGAAAAAATAGGGTTATGTTAAACACCTCCAGTGTTGCCACCCAAATTTCTTACTGTTGCAATAGGTAAAAATTACTACGGTGTAACTTAGCTCATATTTTGTTAGTCAGTATTTGAAGAATTTTAAGAGTGGGGGGAAGAGTTTGCATGGGTCTACTGGCAGAGTTAGATATAGCCAAGGTGGCTACTTGATCACCTAACATGCTATCACCAGAAAGCTTTGTTATGAAGTTGATTATGCTTCTTAAAACTCTCAAACCATCTACTAAAATTTCAAAGATATATGCATTTGAATGTCAAAGCCAAGAAAAAAGGGTAATAAAAAAAAAAGCAGGAGGCAGTACAGTATCAGCTGGACCTCTCAATAGTACATGTGAACAGTATCATATTAAAAGCCACATTTCTATACCAAATTGTACCAAACAAAACAGGAATTCCCTACGCTAAATACACGTAAGCCAAAGATAAAAAAGTACTGTAGATATTAATAAAAAATGTGGGAGACAGTACCTTCAGGTACTGCCTCCCATGTTAATAAAAACTTTTTAATAAAAACCATATTTTCTTGTCAAATTGCACCAAACAAATAAGAACTCACGATTCCTACACCAAACATATTGAAGATGAATACATTTGAAAAACTAATCACCAAGAAAAATACAATAATACTGTACTGTAATAAAATGATGTGAGAGGCTGTGTCTGGAAGATATGGCAAGTTCTCAACTGGCTTTGGTGTCTGGCAATATTGCGAGATCACAAATTTCTTGATCTAACTCTTTCATAAATACTTGAATTGTGTGTGAAATTGCTAGCTTTAATGATCATGCATTAGGGGCTGATAATGTGTTTAGTGAAAGAAAGGAGTCTGTTACACTACATTCTTTGGCCAAAGTGAAGGCAGAGTTAGCAATGGATTAAGGAAGTGAGTGCTTCCACCTGCTCTCAAAATATTACTGGTGTTGATAATGTAAATGAACAAGAGCAGCATCTGTTAGGAGACTTACCCATATATCTTCCCTTGTTTTATTAGACAGCCAAATAAACACTATTTTGTCCTCTATGGATTACAGACTTCATGAATTTGGGTAGCATCAGGTGAGCCAGGTGGTAGGTACCCTGTCAACCGTATGTGGCAGAGTGAGATATTTGTTGAAGGTTAAGCAGACATAGGTTCTCCCAGCCCCTCTGGTGATAACCTTTGCATGCGTCTATTGCTTTTGAGGCCATTTCTGCTAATATTACTGTCCCCTGTTAAGCTGTGTGAGAATTAATTTTGATGATTCCTTTATCTATCTCAGGATTTGTCAGGTGGGCAACCAGGCCTGTGAATTAGCTCATCCTGGAAGGACCTTATCATGTGGCTGTCACTGCCCTGTTCAGTCCATCTACCCCCCCTCCCTTCCCCTCTCTCTCTCTCTATCTCTATCTTTATCTCTATCTCTCTTTATCTCTTTCTCTATCTCTCTTTATCTCTCTCTCTTTGTCTCTCTATCTCTCTCATTTCAGTTACTATGTTCATTTGCATGACATTTGTGTCCTACTTCCTATAGAATTATGATCATGAGTACATTAGGTTCACTCATTGCCTCTCATTGTATATCTACAGATCTTTCTAGTTTGTCTACTTTGTTGTTTCTCTCACTTTCATCATTGGGTAGTCAGTATGGTCAAAGTCTGCCCATCTTTTGTGAGAGTACTGATTTCTTTAATATGACTTATTTGACAATTATTTTGTAAGACACTTCAGTGTTGTATATCCCTTATTACTCTAGGGAAGCACCTTGATGCTGTTGATAAGCTCCTGATCTAATTATTATTATAATCAAAAAGAAGCGCTAAGCCACAAGGACTATACAGGCTCCTGATCTAAGGAGTTGGACCTATCCTTCCCTTGGATTAAACCTAATTGCCTCCCAGATGCTGTCTGATCACTAGGGATTTAATACTCCATGAATGTAATAATCATAATGTATAGCCCTTATACACTATGGGAATACCAATGAAATGGAAGGCAGTGGGTAAAAGATAAAATTACTAAGTGAAGTGAAGTTCCCTAAAGTTCAATACTTGAACCCTTGACTCTTAAGAATTATGTCCTGCATATCACTGCTATTGATATCAGATTGGATAGAGAGAGCATGGAGGTGAATGTGTTTGGATATATTTGGGAATGGACATGTCAGCAGATGGGTCTATGAAAGATGAGGTGAATCATAGAATTGATGAGGGGAAAAAGGTGAGTGGTGCACTGAGGAGTCTGTGGAGACAAAGAACTTTATCCCTGAAAGCAAAGAGGGGAATGTATGAGAGTACAGTTATAACAATGCTCTTGTATGGGTGTGAGGCATGGGTGGTGAATGTTGCAACAAGGACAAGGCTGGAGGCAATGGAGATGTCATGTCTGAGGGTAATGTGTGGTGTGAATATAATACAGAGACTCCGTAGTTTGGAGATTAGGAGGAGGTGCAGGATTACCAAAACTATTATCCAGAGGGCTGAGGAGGGGTTATTGAGATAGTTTAGACATGTAGAGGATGGAACGAAATAGAATGACTTTGATAGTGTATAAATCTGTAGTGGAGGGAAGGTGGGGTAGGGGGTCGGCCTAGGAAAGGTTGGAGGGAGTGGGTAAAGGAGGTTTTGTGTGTTAGGGGCTTGGACTTCCAGCAAGCATGCGTGAGCGTATTAGATAGGAACAAATGGAAACAAATGGTTTTTAGGACTTGACGTGCTGTTGGAGTGTAAGCAAGGTAACATTTATGAAGGGATTCAGGGAAACCGGCAGGCTGGACTTGATTCCTGGAGATGGGAAGTGCAGTGCCAGCACTCTGAAGGAGGGGTGTTTATGCTGCAGTTTTATAACGGTAGTATAAGCCTGCCTCTGGCAAGACAGTGATGGAGTGATTGATGATGGAAGTTTTCTTTTTCGAGCCACCCTGCCTTGGTGTGAAACAGCTGATGTGTTAATGAAAAAAAATTATATGAAATTCATGAGAGTAACAACTGGTGAGGACATTAAGAGACTCCCAAGACAATTGACATAGGCTGCAGGTAGACAAGTAGCTTTTGAAGTTCAGCCCCTATAAATGCAAGGTAATGAGAATGAGAAAGCTCAGAAATGAAATGTAGGACCTCTAACTTGGACTGAATCCCTTCAAGGGGGCACCTTTATATTGACAAAGGGTTCTTAATCAAATGAACTAGAGTTACCTTCCACTCGGATCAAACATGATTACCTCCTATTTCCCAGGTGCTGTATAACCCCTATTGATTTGCTGCTTCCTCTTGAATATACTTATCATAATAAGATGACTATAGATCCCAATAATTACATGGCTTGCTTTGCTCACATATGATTCACACCACAGACTATGACAACACTTCAAATATTAACTGTTTATAATTTTCTTTACAGTATTGGGAAATGCTAACATAAAGGTAATATAGCACCTGGGTAATTAACCTTCCAAAGGAAGGATAAATACAGTTCTTTGGATCATGAGTTCCTAAATGGGGTTAACCATGTATTAGATTTGTGCCAATAACTGGGCATAATAATTTTAGATGAGAAAACAGACAAAAAAACATCATCTTTCTTTTCCCAGTAGGGAGGCAAGTCTACAAAATCCAACTGCAAATATCTTGAACTTGAAATCCCTCTACTTGGATTTATTGTAGGCAAATACTGTCAGCAATACAGAGAAGGGTTACAATCAGTAAGGGCTGTGGTAGAGTTCACCCAAGGTATGGGGAAAATGTGTGACTTTTGAGTACGTACTTCATTCTGCATTTGCTGCACCCCTCAAGAGGGCCCTTGATGCTGGTAAAGGGCTCTTGATCCAAGGAAATGAACTTGATTTCCCCATGGATTGAAATTGCTTCCCAGTCCCCAAGGCACAGTTTGACCCCTATTATTTGGCACTTTCCATGAATATAATAATGCATACATTAGATCCTTCTTGTTTTGGTGTCTAGCAAAATATTTGAAATACTTTAAAAATGCTGAATAAACTGATGAGGATCATTCTAAAAATTTGCATACCACAAAATTACTTGATTTGCAGAAATACTTCACAATAGAGGCCCTGTCATTGAAAGTACACATTGACACAAATGCTCAGGCAAGCTCATCTATAATGCACTTGCTCAGAAATTTTCAACCACTAGAATGTAGGCATGCAATCCTCAAACTAGATTTAAATCTATTTTAAGGGGAGGGTAGCTCAAATTATTTAGCTAAATAATTTGAGTTGCCCTCCCCTTCCTTGAATTAAATCTGATTATCTCCTATTCCCCAGGTGTATAGCCCCTACAGGTTTAGCACTTTCACATGAATATAATAATGGCAAGGCAGTTGTAGAGCATGAGCTAAAAGGTTTGCTACAACAATCTCACACTCAAGAGTATCTTATGTTTACCTTGGACTATACTGTTAAATTCTGTGAGGAAGAGCATGCACACCTGTGTGTGTCTCTGTAGATACATTGAGGATTTTC